TCAAAGGCTTGCAGAATCTTTTTTTTTCTTTCCCTTCTTCCCGTTTTAATGAAATAGAATCCTCTATTCCACAAATACTTATGGGACCCCTACTGTGTTCAAGGTACTGTGTTGTCCACAAGTGTATACAGTGTTTAAATGCTAATTCAAGAAGCTCTCAGACAACAGAAGGCACTTGGAAGGCAGTGAACTTGGTGGCTAGGAATGGAGGGTCAGGATGACCTTGGGATCAAGCGATTGTTTTACGCTTTACTAGCTGTGTGAAGTTGGCAGGTTTTGTTTTGTTTTGTTTATAACTTGAGTCTTAGTTTCCTCATTTGTGCAAAAAGGATATAGCATTGCCTCTTTCATAGCGTGTAAACCCTTGATAAAGGCCCTACAACAGGTTGAGGGCTCAGAAAATGACTGAATAAATAAACTCTTATTGTCTTTAGTTATTATTATTGCCAGTAGATGCCCTAGTAAATTGGCCGCTGCATTTGATAAGAGTTGGTATTTGTATTTATAAAGTGACAATAATTTGGCTTAAAAATACTAATAAATGTCATGTTCCTCTAATCATTCCTTAGCACCCCGAATCGCCCCCACCTGCAGAACCCCTATCCTCCTCTCCCCAAACCCATGGTCTCCTTCCTCCTTTGGGAAACTGTTTTGTCAAGGCATCAAGCTACGTATTGTGTAGACAGTGGTTAAAGGAGAGGTGAAAACTGAAAGAAGATTAGCCTGTCCTTACCCAGGTGGCCACTCCGGCCCGGTAGTCTTCTTTGGACACCTTTCCGTTTATATGTTGCCTCACAAACATTCTTTTCTCATATGCAGTGCTTGGTATGCAGTTCACATTTGGTCTCCAGTATGTTGCCAAAGCCACATGGGACCCGTGTGCGTAAGTGCAACGATTTGAGAGGTTTTTGATGAGAGGGGCAACTTAGATCTCGGGAGGGATTTTTGGTGGAGACGGTTGTTGATGTTACCTCTTCCAAGTGCAACAGTCTGTGCACTCACAGACCTGGGTGGTTCTAGAACAGGCTCATAGAAATGGATATTTATATGCTCCCTTGGGTCTTTTGTCTTGGCCAGGAAAACTGGGGACCATGAATGTACTAACACAAACCCGTAGGTTTAGGGGCCCATGGAGGGTTCTAGAAGGAAACAAAATGTGACCAACCAAAGCAGACTCGGTGGTCTACAGTTTCACTTAAGAAGCAATAATGTAACACGAAAGTAAGTTTCATAATTTTATTTGAAAGTTTAAATCTGTATCTGTTCATTTGAACTGTTTAAAATATGCTGACACGAAAGAAAAAAGACCACAGGTGACTCTCACAGGTCCACACAAATGGCCCGGCCCTGGCCGTCCGCGTGAGGGGAGACAGAGCTGAGACAACACTGGAGTATAAATAATTTTACGGTATGAATCAAAAGCCATGGAAATGCCCATATTCTAATATAAAAAGTCAGCTTGGGGATTAATTAACCCAAAGTTAATTTAGAATATGAAAAAAGCCAAATATACATTATTCATTGCTATGTCATTGGAAGGAACAAAAATTTGGAAGCAATCCTGATGCCCTGTAACAAGGCTAAATTATTAAATTTCTACTCAACAAACCACTGTGTACTTTTAAAAATAATGATTGTGAAGATTATGTGGCAACATAGAAAATACTGAAAATGTCATCTCTCAAGGGAAAAGAGCTGAAAATTACACCATCCAAATGAAAAAGATGGAAAGGAAATATACGAAACGATAGCAGCTGTGTTTGGGTAATGTCATGATGGTAGTTTTTTCCTCTTTTTCGCTCATGATTATTTTAATCAGTTTTCCAGTTTTATAAATTGGAAAACCAATTAAAGCCACCCAAATGAAAAAGCCGATGTTTAAAGTGAGAAAGAATGAAATGCAGTTACTTTAAAGGGGGCTGTTTCGCGCAGAGCTTCACGAGGGAGGTCACAGGGGACAGCTCTGCAAACGGTTACCGCAGTTTGTGGGGGGCGTGCGTTTGTCCCGGGAGCTGGTAGCGTGGCTGGAAAGTCCGCGCAACAATAGCGCGGGCAGCGAGGCCCCCCCCCCGCAGCGGCCGGTGACTCTGCGCGTCCGCACGGCCCCCCGGGACCCCCGCAGGCCCTGCGCTGGCGGCGGGGTGCGGGTGGCCTCCGCCGCGCCTCGGGGCGGCCTGGGCAGCTGCGTGGCCGCGGGGATGCTGGGCACCAGGGACAAGCAGCCTGGGCAACGGTGACCCGGAGGCGCACAGTCGCCTTTGTCACACCCGCTCCCCGGAGGCCTCAGTCCCTCGTTAGGGTGCAGTTTCTAATCCAAACGACCATTGATCTTTCTCGGGGCCAAAAGGCCAGGAAAGCAAGCTCTGCTCTCTATTTTGATACTGTCCTTGTCTGTATTTTACAAGGGCAGCCTTACGTCACTGACCGCTGGAAAACACCCCGCAGCTGTGTCCCCAGCTCTGCAAAAATGCGGAGCCCGGCTCGGCCCTCCCGATGCAGGGCAGGAGCGCGAACGCAACGGGCTGTTTTGTGGCCCTCGGCAGAAAGGAGAAACATGGCGAACTGAAAGAAATCAGTGTTCTGTGTCATAAGATAAGTTAGGGATGCACGTGTTTTTTTTTTTTTTTTTTTTTTTTATTTCTAGGAGAGAGAGAGACAGCGTGAGCAGGGGAGGGTCAGAGAGAGAGGGAGTCACAGACTCTGAAAACAGGCTCCAGGCTCTGAGCTGGCAGTCAGCACAGAGCCCGACGCGGGGCTCGAACCCACGACCCGCGAGATCGTGACCCGAGCGAAAGTCGGCCGCTCAACCGACTAAGCCACCCAGGCGCCCCAGGGATGCACCTGTATTTTAAGTGAAAATGCCACCATATATGATAGCTGACTGAAAGTGATATTATACAAACTTTTGAATACTATTCTTTTAATTTTCCTGCCTTCGCAAGTAAATGGACCCAAATAAATGAAACTAACCCTTAACAACTTTTGGTTTTTTAAAGGGAATCAATACAAAATAGGATTTGACTTAGAGAAATGCCGTTAACTGTCGTCTCAGAAACACTGAAGTGTTCAGTTTACAGAAACGGGCTGACTTCCTTATCTCAGACTCTTTTAATGGATGATAAGTCAAGAAACACATCTTTTCCATATTCTCAAGTGCTCAGGACCAACATGATGGGTATGAAGATAAAGAACATGGAGCCTTCCTAAATCTGTGTCTTCATGCTTGACCTTTAAATCCTTCCTCTACACAGTGATCATCACTGTGAATACCAAACACTTCTGGTGAGTCACATGTAGACATCTGGCTACTGATAGTGAAGGCATCGAACATTTAAGAGATAGAGAATTCATTTTTATGTCCCAAACTATTTTACATTAAGTTTCCTAAACTCAAAATTTCACATTAAGGATTAAGTAATACATAAAATCTAGTCATAGCATTTTCAAGCTGGAAGAGGCCTGGGTTGAAGAAAGTAAAACTCAAGACAGACCAAGGGACTGGAGTGGAACCCAGGGCCTTTGACCCCTAGCCAAATGCTGTTCTGATATCACATTACTTTGTAGGATGTAAGAGTTCTAGAACTTACCTGGACTTTTTTTTGGGGGGGGGGTTTGATGGGGAGACACATGTTTTTCGCTGTGCCAAATTTATTTTGAGACATTAGCAACTTTTACTAAAGTTTCCTGAGCGAGCTCAGATTGGCAGATAATTTAACTGTACTCTGCCTTGTTCACACAGCTTCCGCTTTCAGAATCCATGATACTTTTGAAACGGAGGGAATTTTAGCTAGATGTGGTCTGCAAGGTATAACTGAAATTCTGTTGGTACTGCCCTATCCTTGCCTTTTAGGCACTGATATAAATAATTTGAATGTTTGGTAGGAATTAAAACTATACCTCAATGATACCATTTCTAAGTCAAAACTATATGCACACATATCATATATATAATAAAAAACATCAACCAAATTTTTAACAGTGGCTATCTGCCGGGAGCCGCACCAGCCTCTCTGGATGGCAGTCACACAGCTATCTTTTGGATGGTTCAATATGAACAAATACTTTCTTTTGTGTTTCTGTCTGTATTACCGGTTTTTGGTGCCAAATATATTTTACGTTTATAATTAGAGAAAACTCTATAAACATTATTTCAATGTTTAAAAGATTTCAAGGACAGGGGCTCCTGGGTGGCTCAGTTGGTTAAGAATTCAACTTCAGGGGCGCCTGGGTGGCTTGTTGGTTAAACGTCCGACTTTCGCTCAGGTCATGATCTCGCGGTTCGTGGGTTCGAGCCCCGCGTCGGGCTCTGTGCTGACTGCCAGCTCAGAGCCTGGAGCCTGTTCCAGAGTCTGTGACTCCCTCTCTCTCTGACCCTCCCCTGCTCATGCTGTCTCTCTCTCTCTCCCCTAGAAATAAATAAAAAACATTAAAAAAAAAAAGAATTCGACTTCAGCTCAGGTCATGGTCTCACGGTTCGTGAGTTCAAGCCCCGCATTGGGCTCTGTGCTGACAGCTCAGAGCCTGGAGCTGCTTCAGATTCTGTGTCTTCCTCTTTCTCTGCCCCTCCCCTGTTCACACTCTGTCTCTGTCTCTTAAAAATAAATAAACATTAAAAAAAAAAAGATCTCAAGGACATAAAGACCTTTATACAGATGAAGTGGGCCTGGGCAGGTTGAATGGCGCAGTAATGCATTTCTTTTCCATTTTAAAAAATCCTGATGTAATTATACGTAGCATTACTTGCTTGATTAAAACTTCAATTCAGTTTAAAACATGAGTAAATCCACAAATGCACTGAGGTCCAGACTGCCAAAGCTTGAGCTCTGAGCAGTGAGCAAAAAACACCATCAGTGTGGTAACCTTTGTGAGGCAGAATGAGCCATAGAAGTTTCCGCAGGCTGGGGAATAACAGACGCAAGTGATCACACTACGTAGATTCTACTGGCAAGACTGAAGTCTATTAACTACAACAGTGCTTGCTTTTGAATTAATTTATTCGGAGCACCAAAAACATTTTTCCAAAGAGGGAATTACCATGCAGGATGTTAGTGTTTGTCTCCAAAGAACAATTTGTTTATTTGCCACAGGATCAGTCTCTAACATTTTACCTCTTTGGATTTGCTTTAATCTTTAAGTATTAGTTACTAGTATTTTCATAAATTAAGATGACTCTGACCTAAAACAATAAAGTGATATCTTTTCTCTGGTCCTTTTAAAATTAGGAAATATGTGCTTGTTATAACAAATCCAAACAATACAGATGTTTATAAAATAAAAAGGGGAAGTATAAAATCTAAGGTGAATATTTTCTATTAATTCTCTGTACCCCAAATTCCATTTCTCTAGTGATAACTTTTATTGTTTTGATGTGTAGCCTTCTTCTCCCTATATATAGACAAATACTCATGTATAATTTAAAAAGTAAAAGTCAGATTATGGAAATATATAATTGTTCTGCTTTTTTCCAACTTAGCAGTATATCATGGGCATATTTCCAATAGATTTATCTCATTCCTATTGATAGCACTATAGCATTCCATTATTTAATATACTCTTATTTATCATACACTATTAATGAATATTTAGGTTCTTTCAGATTTTACATTAGAGAGAGTGCTGCCAGAAACATCTTTGCCATCTTTCTTAATGCACCTGTGCTAGCATTTCTATAGGATTCGTGCCTAGACCGGGGATTACTGGGCACAGGACATGTGCATTTACATTTTTGGTAGATACTGAGCTTTTGCCCATTTTGTAACTAGCGCAGCAGCGGCAATCGTGGGGTTTGGGGCAGGGCCTGGAGGCTGAAGTCTAGGTCAAGGCCCAGCGTAGTGGGCCTTCCTCCACTGTTTCATGGAAGTAGTTTGACTTTGCGCATTAGGGAATCTTCTGCAGGATAAACTTATTATCACATTCAGACTGGTAACAGGTATGCCATGTGTGGAGATGAAAAGAAGTTCTGGCTAGCTCGGTTTCCGTTGTCAGGACTATGATGGCCCGAGGGAATTCTTTCAGTGAGAATGAAAATTAATACAGTTTCATTGAAGCTTCAAACAGAGCAGACAAGTCCTCTTCTGACTGAGGCCGTGGGGCAACCTTGGTTACCCTTTCCTGAAACAGGGAACAAAAGGCGTTACCCGGCGCTTGGAAAAGACAGTTTGGAGCTACTCGGATATGTAAATTAACTTGGCCATAAGAAACAATGACTTGATGATAGTCATATCTTTAAAATCATATTTTGGGGCTCCTGGGTGGCTCATTCGGTGAAGCATCCATCTCTTGGTTTTGGCTCAGGTTGTGATCTTGTGGTTTCGTTGGGTTCAGGCCCTGCACTGGGCTCCGTGCTGACAGTGAGGAGCCTGCTTGGGATTCTCTCTCTCCCTGCCCCACCCTCCCTCACGCTGTCTCTGTTCCTCTCAAATAAACTTAAAAAAATCATATTTCTATACTAGCCGATCTCCAGTTCAGAAGTCTATTGAACGACACCTCTCCCACAAAGCTTTCAAAAGCCATTACCCTTGCCTTATGTTCTGGCAATGGCCTTCTGCCCAAAGCATAGAGCCAAACCAGCCTTGGGTAGAACACTGCCTGTGATGACCAAACTGCACTGGTCAGCAGCCAGGCAGGTTCTCTGTGCAGAGAGCGCTGTCCGAGGCACGGCATGTGCTGCCAAGGAGACTAGAACACGGTTGTCCTTGACTTCAAAGACTGTATATTTTGCAACTTGGATTTCAAGTATATCCAAAAAGATTTCATTAGGGCTTAGCTCTTAGGCTACAGGCAACAAGTGACTCCTTTTTAATATTAACTAAGGTTTTATTTCTGCCTTCCCAAATGAATTCAGTGACCTGCTTAATTTCTCCAGTGTTACTGAACGGAGTTAGCAAGGAGCCAGCACATCCTATTGCTATATATTCCCGCATTCAGTGCCTTCTTAATCCCACTGGGACAGAGGATCAAAAGATACTAGAATGACCACCCTGTGTCCAAATTTCTGGGCCTAAATGAAATTAAGATACAGGGGTTGAGTGTCCAACTCTTGATTTTGGCTCAGCCATGATCCCAGGGGGATGGGATCGAGCCCCTGCCAGGCTCTGCACTGAGGGTGGAGCCTGTTTGAGACTCTCTCTCCCCTCCCCCCCTCAGCCCCTCTCCCCCGTGCTTTCTCTCAGTCTCTCTAAAATGAGCATTAAAAAAATTAAGATACATGCCAGAGTTCTGGTCTCATTCTCATGGGTCTCTCAGTTTATTTTCTTTTTTTTTTAAAATTTTAAATAATTTTTTTAATGTTTTATTTATTTCTAGGAGAGAGAGAGACAGCGTGAGCAGGGGAGGGTCAGAGAGAGAGGGAGTCACAGACTCTGAAACAGGCTCCAGGCTCCGAGCTGGCAGTCAGCGCAGAGCCCGACGCGGGGCTCGAACCCACGAACCGCGAGATCGTGACCCGAGCGAGAGTCGGACGCTTAGCCGACTACGCTACCTGGGCACCCCTCAGTTTCTTCTCTTTTAAGGACTTGTTTGGGAGCATAGCTGGGAGGTGAGGCAGATCTGTGAGGGCGGGACTATGCTCACTCCTGCTCAGTGCCGGCCAGAGTGCTTGACACACAGTACAAGGGGGCCCGACAGTTATCTGATGACTTAATGAACACGGTGGGACAGGACACACTGACGTCTCAAAATTCACATATTGAAGACCGAACGCTGACTCCTCCCGCCTCCCCTTGTCTTCATCCCAGAAGTGACACCCAGTCCCTCGGGCAAAAGCCTAGGAATCCTCTGGATTTTCTCTCCCTTCTCTACAAGTTCAATCCATCAGCAAGTTTGTCTGATCTACCTCCAGAGTGAATCCCAAATCCGACCACCCCTCACCTCCTGTCCCACCACAACCCAAGTCTAAGTCTCCCTCACTCCCCCGCCAAAAGCCGTCTCCACTTTTGCTCTACCCTCGCCCCCTAGACGCCACTGTCCACACAGCGGCCAGAGTGGTGTTCTTCCCCAGTGTAAATGCTCCTGTCATTGCCTGCTTCATGCTCTCTGATGACCTCCCACTGCAGCCACAAGACGGTGGCCTCCAGTGCCGCCCTGTCCCGCCCTCATGCTCACCTCCGCTCTGACTCTTCTCCCGACGGTTCATGTCACTGAGCCCCTCCATCCCCTCTCAGCCCCACAAAATGCTCATCTTCCCCGTCTTGGGGCCTTTCCCCTCTGCCTGGAATGCTTCTCCCGGGTCTTGACGTGGCTGCCTCCACTCCGACTCAGAAACCTTCTGTGACCTCCCTCTCTGAAGCTCCCCCACACCGTCCACATGAGAGCACTATCTCATTGCCCAGGTTTTCCGTATACCATTAATCATTATCAGGAATGACTCCGTTTGTATCTTATTTGGAGATGTGATTAGATGCCCACTGTCCGTCTTCTCTCACTAGAATGTTAGGACCACGAGGTATGGAAGAGACTTTATTTTTCTCCTTACTGTACCCTGTTCAATGCATGGTATGTAATAGGACCTCAATAAGTATTCGTAAGGTAAAAGGAAGATGAAAATGGGAAGCCTGTATTAAAAAAATTAACTAGGGGTGCCTTGGTGGCTCAGTTGGTTAAGCTCAGGTCATGATCTCCTGATCTGTGAAACTGAGCCCTACATCAGTCTCTGTGCTGACAGTGTGAACCTGCTTGGGATTCACACACATACTCTCTCTCAAAATAAATAAATAAACATTAAAAAAAATTAACTCAAAATAGGCCTGAATGTAGACCTAAATGTAAGAGCTAAAACTAAAACTCTTAGGAGAAAATAGGGGAAAAAATCACGACATTAGATTTGGCAATATTTTCCCTTGGATATGACATCAAAAGCACAGGCAATAACAAAAAGGTAACTTGGACTACATCCAAATTTAAAACTTTTATGCATCAAAAGACACTCTCGAGAGAGTTGAAAAGACAGAATGAGAAAAGCATTTGCAGATTATACATCTAATAAGGGAGTAATATCTAGAATATATAAATAATTGCTACAACTCAATAGCAGAAGACCCCGAACAACCCAACTCAGAAATAGGCAAAAGACTTGGACAGATATTTTTTTTAGTGAAGATATGTAAATAGCCAATGAACACATGGAAAGATGCTCAAAATCTTTTTTTTAAACGTTTTATTTATTTCTGAGAGAGAGAGAGAGAGACTGTGTGAGCAGCGGAGGGTCAGAGAGAGAGGGAGACACAGAATTCAAAGCAGGCTCCCGGCTCCGAGCCGTCAGCACAGAGCCCGACGCGGGGCTCAAACCCACGAACGGTGAGATCACGACCTGAGCTGAAGTCGGACGCTTAACTGACCAAGCCACCCAGGCGCCCCTCAAAATCTTTAGTTATTAGCAAAATGCAATTCAAAACCGTAATGAGTTTCCACTTCCCATCCATCAGGATAGCGATACAAAAACGGAAAATAACAAATCTTGGTGAAGATGTGGAGAAATTGGAATCCTCCTGTACTGTTGACTTAACTGTTGGTGGGAATGTGTAATGTGAGGTACCTGCAACAGGCAAATCCATAGAGACAGAACGTGGAATAGAGGTCATCAGAGTCTGGGAAGGGGGAGTTATTGTTTACCATTAAGCAATAGAGCAGAGCTTCTGTTTGAAATGATTTAAAAGTTCTGGAAATGGATAGTAGTGATGGCTGCACAACACTAAATGTATCAATGGCACTGAACTGCACACTTAAAAGCGGTTAAATTAATACATTTTATGTTAGATATATTTTACCATGGTTAAAAAGATAATTAAAAGAAGGAAGGAAGAGGGGGCCTGGGTGCTCAGTCGGTTAAGTGTCCGACTTTGACTCAGGTCATGATCTCAGGGTTTGTGGGTTCGAGCCCCGTGTCGGGCTCTGTGCTGACAGCTCAGAGCCTGGAGCTGCTTCGGATTCTGTGTCTCCCTCTCTCTCTGCCCCTCCCCCGCTCATGCTTTGTCTCTCTCTCTCTCAAAAATAAATAAACATTAAAAAATAAAAAGGAGGGAGAAGGATGGGCAGATAGGAGAAGGACAGGAGACGGTCTGATGAGTGCGGGCCCTGCAGCAGATCTCCAGGGACCCTGAGGGATTTTGAGAATCCAGAGCAAGGCAGAGACTTGTTCACGGTGACCTACGTATAAGTGGGCGGCATGGTCAAGAAGTGAAATTTAGCATTTGCTCTGGCCGATGATTATTGCCACATTAATCTGTCTGTAACAGGAGAGAATCTTATCTGGTGAGCTCAGAGTCCCTTAAAGCGACCCTGCTCATCTTTTGTGAAATAGTTGAGGATTCTCAGGAGTACTTGGAGCCAAGTGATCCGGGCTTGTCCTTCACATTTCTAAAACCCCATGCCTGGTGAAATGGGGGCAAGGATGTAGTGTTTGTGATCTTTCCCTCCCATGTATCATCTATGCCATGGAAAAGTCAAACTCTCAGAATTAAGACGTGTTCAGTGCTGTTATTTATAGATGCGTGAAACCGAAGGAAAACTGATTACCATGGGCGCTGAAACAAATCCTGACTACTTTTAGCACATTCATAGAATAACATTTCGGCTGGCCCGTCTGCCAGGGAGTGGAAGTGCTCGTTTTGGTAGACAGCTCTCCTCAGAAATGAAATGTTTGGATTTGAAATGTAAATGTTTTTTTCCAGAGGTTTCAGAAACCCCACTTGGAAGATTAATTTATTCTTGCCTGCTCCCCTTGCGCCTGGGAATGGCGGTTAGCAGCCTCTGCACACAGGGCTGCTGTTTGCTGCCATCAGTACGGGATGTGGTGTTTGGTCAAGAACACTGGCGTGGCTGTTCCTTCCAGAGAAAACCGATCCCTCCTTGCTGAACATAAAAGAAGCTTTATCAAACGTCGACTACAGAAATAATCTTTCTGGCAATGTTCTTTGCAGCAACCAGTATATCCCTCTCACTACCTTAAATCCTGTAGATACTAATAAGTGAAGGCTAGCCTGCCACACGTGTAAAATTCTGAAGCTGCCGTAGCATTCCTATAAAATGTTCACTGCTGCCAAAAATACCAAACAAAAAACCCATAGTAGTTCTTCATCTGCAAAACAGACAAGCTTATTTCTAAGATTCCTTCTAAAGTTCCGTGAATCTCCCCTCCCCTCTCCATGTATAGAACACATTGACTCAATTACATGGGCTCCGACAGGGAGCGAGTGCTACTTTATTAAAATTAACTATGTTTCTCCCAATCAGAGAAACATGATGTTGAAAAAAAAAAAAGCAGAATACGTGTTGGGGCTGCTTTATGAATATAACTTGAGGAAATCCTGGCCTCCAAGTGTTTGACTTGTAAAGATTCAATTTGTCTTGCATCTTTTGTGAAAGTAAGAAATTAGCTCTGTCTAGTTAAGGCTTTGCTATCTGCGATTTCCCAGTATGACATGTACACGGAGGCATTTAATAGGATACCTGATTAACTTGCTATTTTGGTGGATGACCTCAGATGTTAGCTTCGATCTGTTGCTATCTGGAACAGCTTCTGAAAGTAAAAGACTGAGCACAGTACGATGTAAACAGGAATCACTTGCCAGTGTGCTGACGGCTGGAAGACGCATTGCCCCCGGCAATTAAATGGCCAAGAGTATCACACAGTTTCATCTGGGAATCATGGATGCCATCTCTGGAGGTTGACAGACACACATTCCTGAACAAACAGAAGTTCCCAGAACACTCCCCACCCCTCTGCCTTGCAGGATGGACACTGTCTCTGAACCACACCAGAAGAGCCAAACACCGTGTTCACACTGTGGTGACCACTTGGGCTCTGGTATCCCTGGACAGGCGTTCATGGTTTCGTGTCATTAGTTGAGTCCTATTAGGTGTAAGGAAACTGCTCAAAAAGTTACCACCATCCAGCCATTAATGTCACCTTCCCAGAGGACTTAGGACGTTGTCCCTGTGCTCACGGAACTTACCGTCCGATAGGTTTGGGTAAAGTAACTGGGATGGTCGTGTTCTTTGGCCATTTAGTCTCTTGGACTTGTTGGTTAGAGCCAAGTGTTTGTGAGTTAGCCTAGGAGCTCAGTTACACTTCGAGATGGTTCTTTTTTTCATTCTTTTGTATTTTTAGATGCAACTGAGGCTACTGGGTCTGAGTCGAAATGAAGGAAACTCCTGGCCCGTGGGCCATGTTTGGTTTGTACAGTGGGTAATATGGGGAATACAATGCAAACATCCAGATTGCTGATGTGTGTGCGCGCGTGCGCGTGCGTGTGTGTGCGCGTGCGTGTGTATTTTTTTTTAAACTGGAAGCTCTACCAACACTGGCACTGAATTTCTGCTTGGAGATAGTAACTCGTCGCTGAAGAGATGTTCACCCAATGAGATAGATTATGGGCTTTCCAGTTCCTGAAAGTCCCCACTGCTCGCTACTGCTTTCAATCACTTGGTTTATTGCAATGACCTCCGTCGCTCCCTCCTGCGGACATGTGAGTCTGTTAACCCAGTCCATACAAATGCCATCTCACGTGAGTGCTGAGACCTTCAACACTCTACGCAGTTGCCAAGTGGGGAAGAAGCTAGTGTGCGGCCTTTGTTTAGTCAGGATGGGATTAGGGAAAAGCACTTCTACTTGTGGAAAGCAGGAATCTGTGTGAGGCAGATGTTCCAGCTGTTAACTCTGTTTCAAAGTTAAGGATAGATCCTTCCTTGCCTTAACATTGGGCAGAATTGCCTTACCCTCATATTCGTATAGTATTTAAGTGACCCATGTCTTTCCCTTTTGAGACCGGAGGAACTGAGTACTCTGGGCGTGGAGAGCATGGCTCAGGGCTCACGGCTCTGGCTATTTTATGGTGAGTTGCAGAGAACAGAGAAGAGGGTCTCGGCCTAGTAGGATCTGATGCTACAGCACAAGGGTGTCTGATCCAAACGGGAAGGGAGGCCCAATGGGGGGCTCCTATCATGAGAACCTTGGTGGGGAAACTCCGCATCTGTTAATGTTCCCACCAAATAAAGGTTGGCAGCTCAGTTTAAATTCTTTGGCAACATTTAAATAAATAAGACCCAAAGTGACACAGATATGTATGCAGATGTATGTGTATAAAATGTACACTCTCCCACATACGTTAAAAAGTGATTTTGTAATGGTATTGATTTCAGGCCATGCCTATTTTTCACAAAATAGTAGGAACTTATGACTGTTTATAATATAAAACAATATTCGTGGCCACAGGGAAATTTTGCCACACTTCAAGACAAATGTGGTTGTGTTTGCCTTGAGTTTTTATACGAGATCCTTTCAGTTACATCATAGCAGCTCCGAGAAGCCACAGGTCTGTGGGACAACGTGCAGGCGGGGGCCGGCCCCTCCCACCGGGAAGGGCAGAGCTGCTCTCTGGCGCGGAGGGGACCCGGGTTCTCCGCTGCCCTGAGGCCCCCACGGGCACCATGTTTGTCCAGCAGCTTTGTGCTCCTCGGAAGGGCGTGAGGACGCCCCGCGACCCTTACCTGGGGCAGCGTCCCCGGCACCGGTGCGGGGACATCGGCCTCGCAGTAACCGACGGCGGCCAGGCCGTCGTCCACGTCCAGCTCGAAGAGGAGCCTCCGGAGCGTGTCCGCCTGAACAGGCCCCGCGTCTGCGGCCCTGGCCGCGCGGACGTCCGCCCCTGGAAGACACACCGTGCGGGCTGTGGAGGGACAGCGGGGTGCCCTCGGCCGCGGCTCCCCAGCCCCCGCGTGGAGGCGGCCCAGCGCCAGCCCCGCTGCACGAGGCCGGGGGCGCGGGGGGCCGGGGGGGCCGGGGGGGGCCAGGGGGACCGGGGGGGGGCTGGGGGGGCCGGGGGG